TACAAAAATTTATACATACATTGTTATGTGACCCTAATTGCTGTCCCTATACTGTGACAGTACACTCCTCCTTTCCACCTCTGATTTCCTGTGTCCATTCAACCAGCTGCTGACCCTCTCTGCCTTTTCATCTCACCTGTGGACAGGAGCTGCCCGTTTAGTTTCATAAATCTACTTGAGCTAAGAAGCACAATCTTCACGACTATCATTTTACGTCCCGTAGTCCAGTCTAATCTTTGAAGAGTTGGCCTTGGGAATGGTTTTAGTTTTGAGCTAACAGAGAGTCTGGGGGTCATGTCTTCTGAGGTCCCTCTCACAATCAAACCATTAAGTCTGGTATTTTAGTAGAATTTGAGTTCTGCACCCCACTTTTCTCCTGCTCCGTCAAAGACTCTCTCTTCTGTTCCCTGTCAGGGCAGTTATTGGTGGTAGCCGGGCACCATCTAGTTCTTCTGGTCTCAAGCTGCTGAAGTCTCCGGTTTACATGGCCCTTTCTGTCTCTTGGGCTAATACTTTCTTTGTGTCTGTCGTGGTCTTCATTCTCCTTTACTCCAGGTGGATTGGGACATATTGATGCATCTTAGATGGCTGCTCGCTAGCTTTCAAGACCCCAGGCGCCACTCACCGAAGTGGGATGCAGAACATTATCTTAATAAACTTTGTTATGCCGGTTGACCTGCTGCTGTGTCCCTCAAAGTGTTTGGTTCTATTCAGGAAACTTCTTAGCTTTGATTTAGTCCAGTTGTGCTGACTTCCCCTGTAGTGTGTACTGTCCTTTCCTTTACTTAAGATAATTCTTGTCTGCTATCTAGTTAGTGAATACCCCTTTCCCACCTTCCCCACCCTCGTAACCATCAAAGAATGTTTTCTTCTATGTTTAGACTTTTTCTTGAGTTCTTATAATAGTGATCTTATACAATATTTGTCCTTTTACAACTGACTAAATTCACTCAGCATAATGCCTTCCAGATTCCTTCGTGTCATAAGATGTTTCACAGATTCATCATTGTTCTTCATCATTGCATAGTATTCCATTGTGTGAATATACCATAATTTGTTTATCCATTCGTCTGTTGACGGGCACCTAGGTGCTTTCCATCTTTTTCTATCGTGAACAGTGCTGCAGTGAATGTGGGTGTGTATATAACTATTCATGTGATAGCTCTTATTTGACTAGATGTATTTTAAGGAGTGGGATGCTGGATTGTATGGTACTTCTATTTCTAGCTTTTTAAGGAAGTGCCAAATTGATTTCCAAAGTGGTTGTACCATTTTACATTCCCACCAACAGTGTATAATTGTTCCAGTCTCTCCACAACCTCTCCAACTTTTATTATTTTGTGTTTTTTGAAATAATGCTAACCTTGTTGGGGTGAGATGGTATCTCACTGTAGTTTTGATTTGCATTTCTCTAATGACTAATGATCATGAGCATTTCCTCATGTGTCTGTTAGCTGCCTGATTGTCTTTGGTGAAGTGCCTGTTCATATCCTTTGCCGATGTTTTAATTCGGTTATTTGTCTTTTTGTTGTTGAGGTTTTGCTGTATCTTGTAGATTTTAGAGATTAGACGCTGATC